GAGTGACATGGTTTAGTGGGAGGTGTCCCTGCCCATGGCAGGGGGGTTGGAACTAGATGATCTTAAGGTCCTTTCCAACCCTAACTATTCTATGATTCACAACTTCCTTGGGCAACTGAGGAAGAAAAAAAAGAAGAAACTGTGATATTAAACTTAGAGGGTGAAAGGGAACAAGATGTCTGCTCACGCATGTAGTCTCAGAAGAAAGGGATGTAAAGAGCAATGAGAGAAGATATGGATGTTATAAAGGTAGGTGATCTGCTGTCAGTACAGAGAGAGAGAAGGATTGATACCTGACTTCATGATCTTCAGTACCAAGCCTGAATGTTGCCAAGTCAGTGGGCAACTCAAATTACGTCTAATTTGACTATGGGCCTTCTGGTATGGAGGTGATCCATTATCTGTTTTGAAATAAATGTAAACAAAAATCTACTGTGTGAAAGATCAACACTTTCTGATGTGGCTTCACAGAATCCTTGATTCGGTTGTTGATTTGGGGCCCAAATGCTCAGTTGTCATATTGAGTGTCACTTCTGTGGCTTTGATTGTCAGACCAGTGGACTGTGCTTACTGGTGAGGAATGTAAGCTAGGAAAGGTGAGGTATTGTCAGCAATTCATGCATCAGAACAGGAGGTGCTCAAACAAGTGGGTTATTTAGATGCACAGGGTCACTTGGACAGGACAGTAGAAGTCTAATAGTTCTAAAGGAGTTTAAGATACAGCAGTTCAGCTGCCTCAGTGGTAGCATACAGAAATGGACTGTTGTCATCTCAGATACAGGAAAATGAAGAGTCTTCCTGCAAATAGGGCTGAAATAACTAAACAAATCTGATGCTTTAGAGGCTAAATGCATAATTTCTGAACTTAATTGCGGAGTTAGGCCATCTTTTTACACAGAACCTTAATAAATGCTGCTGAGAAGTCAAAGTAATTGAGGACTAAGAGCTAGAATACTGTTCTAGAATGAGGAAATGGTAAAGAAAGGGAAATCTTAAAACAGAGGTGAATAGTACAAAAGGTAGTGGTAGGGGCAGGATAAAGATCTGAGTATGTACCCTGATAGTTAGCTTTTGCTGTAGAAATAGTACTACATGCAGTTAGATTAAGCTAATGTGGGCATGCCTCACTGGGCTGCAATGGCAGCTTTGTTTCATTTTGATATACCTTATTGTTAAGAGAAGTATTTGTGCTTAGGAAGGATCATGACCTTGGATGCTGTGGGCTGCGATGGTCCCAATGTCATGTTGTCTTGCATAGTAACAAATGTCCTAGCATTTACCTTTTCATCTTGTAAGGCCAGTAGGCTGTGAATTTATCTGTGTGGCTGATGTGTTAACTAACTTCTTATGGAAGCTCTGAAGAAAATTAGCCCTGTGCTTTTAGTGCAGTGTTTTCCAATCTGTCTTTGATTTTTAGGCCCTTAAACATTTTCTGATGAGGGTATGGATGTCTTGTAGTAAATGTAAGCCGGCTGACAATCTTGGAACCTTTGTAAACGTTTCAGACTGGGTGTTAATCCATTAATAGACTACCATAATCATGTATGGGGTATGGAATATAGCCACCCCTCTCATGCTTCTAGTTTTGCTTGCAGTTTAACTGCTGTATTCTTGTCATCTGCTGATTTTCATTATGCAAAGTTGGCTACCTGTGTTCTAGAGTATAGTTATTTAGAAAGAGAAGCAATCTTTCAATAATTTAAGTTTCATCTCATGGGAAGCTTTCCATGTCGTAGTAGAGATTTCAGAGTTACAAGTTAGCTGCAAAGAGCAGAGCTTAGCAGTGATGTGTTCAGTGACTTGTATTGACAAATCAGAGGTGTGCTACGTTATGTATCAGTCGTGGCATTTTATAATATAGGGTTTGTAGACTTGAGTTTTAAGAATAACATAAGTTTATGAGAAGGTGCTCATGATATTTGCTAGATTTTTGTGAATTTCTGATCTGCTATAGATGGAGAGGGGACGTATTTTTACCATTGTGATTTAACTAACATTGTGATTTAATGACCTAAATTCAAGAGTGTACGTTAGTAAAAACAGTTTTGTTGCAAGTCTGAAGGTGCCTTTTGGGGGAGGGAAAAGGTTTATTAATAATTTGTAGTAAGATATTTATACAAACAAAGCTGAGTGACATATATGAAGAAACTCTATTTTCTTTTCCCCTCCTTTATTTAACCTGAGAAATAGGAAGAATACTGCATCTCGTTTGCCTCATCTTTCTGGAGTATGTCTTGGAAACAGGGTGGAGGGAAGAAGATATTTTGAGATATTTAGTAAAACCTGTCACCAGTGGCTTAAGTAGATTTACTTTTCACATTAAAACCTGCTGTTTCCTGATAAGTGCCAATAAAAAGCAAACACCCCAAAACCTTACATGTTGGCTGCAGGTTCCTACCTTTGTGCTTTCCTATCAAGTACCAGGGAGAGCATGTCTCAAATACTGACCTCACCTTTGTGTCAGTTCTTACTCTGCTGCGGGTTAAGATTGTCCTTTCCCACAGGGGCTCAATCATTGATTGTGTTTAATTTAGGATAAATCATTTGAATCCCTCAGCATATCAAAGAATCCCTTTCTCCAGAGTAAGGAGACTATGAGCCATGATCTTTGTGCCAGGAGAATGTGATTTAATTTTGAGCAAACTAAAAAAAAAAAGTTACTCTTTTTCTACAGGTGAAGTTCTAAAAAACTTAAATAAGTTCTACAAAAGAAAAGAGATCCAAAGACTAGGAGCAGAAAATGGATTAGATGGTAAGAAAATGTTCTAAGATTTATTTTTTTTTTCAAATGTGTAATCTGTTTCTACTCAGATATGGTATTAGGTAGATCTGATCTGTTACGGGTCATAAACAGTGCTTGTTTAGGTTGTCTCTGTCACTTGGTTCAAACCAAGTGTTCAAATCTTTATATTTACTTTTAATATCTGATATTAAGTTGCAGGTTTTTAATACAATACAGTGTTTTGTTGGGTGTTTGTAAGTATGGTTTTGTGACTCCAGTCACATCCACTTTGTTCCTTTTTTTTCTCTCCCAGCTCGCCTGTTTCACCAAGCGTTTATAAGCTTTAGGAAGTATATCATGGAATCCAGTTTTGTGAGTGCTGATTTGCATATTATTCTCAATGATATATGCTGTGATGCAGGCAAGTATCTGGAGTGCTTGTAAAATTAAATGTACTTTTTTATTCTTGGTTTTGGCCTGTATGCCTACCTATGTACTGTGGATCCCTCTATTGGGCTATAAAAGAGGTTAAAAATCATTTCTTCCCCGTCAGAAGCATTTGTGCCTCTCTTATGGAGAGATCTATCTTTAAATCCTCTGAAGCGGAAACAAAGGAGGTAGAGGTCTTTGCTAGCAGCAGCCTGTTTTATAGCAACTTTTCTTCCCTGAAAGTACTGTTCCATTTATTCCTCTCTTAAAAATCCAGTTGTCACTAGGGGGCACTTTGGGAGCTTTCTCCTGGCCAGATAGCTTTAAGTACTTGGGAATACAGCTCTGATGTGCTCTGTTTCTCTGTAGCATTGATAGGAGTGAGTGTGAGTGTAGCATTGATAGGAGCTTAGCGCATCTTGTGTTGTAATCAACAACACTTAAGCGAGAGGTGATGCTAGCTGGTTACAGGGGAAACAGCTTTCTCCACAGTTAGAGTTGCAGTGTTTACTGTCTTAGGAAATGTGAAGTGTCTTTTTATATTAGTTGTGCATAAAGTCTTCCACATGATTTCCTCACTTCTGCCTCTCATTTACTTATATATGAGCATTGTTTATATATGCCTTAAAACTCACATACATAGAAGTGTAAAGGATTATGGCAAGTTTTGAAGTTTTTTAGTTTGAGTTTTGCTTGTCTAAAGATAATACTTGAAAATACTACAGTTTTTAAATTCTTTAAATTTTCACAGTAATTTTGATTGTGAAATGACTACTAATTCTCAATTAAAACCAAAAATGCACAAAAAACCCACTGCTTTTTTATGTGTATGTGTTTGATGACAGTTTTTTAGCTTGAGATAGTTCTTTGAAATTCTGTGAGATGTGGACAGTTTAGAAGTTCTGTGGACATGTAGGCTACTAGAGTGAATATACTGAATTTCATTTTTTTCTTCAAACTGTTGTATTTGTAGTACATTGCTTCGTGAGTCTGTGTACTCATGTTAGTTTATCTTTCTGCCATTGGGATAATTATTGAACACTGTAGGGAGCCAGAAGTTGAAAGAAGTATCTAAGTGTCTGGTGGAAGTAGTAGAATTTTTTTTTTTTGTAAAGTTTATTATGAAGATACGTACCTTCAGCCAAGCATACAACTTTCTTAAAAGGATTTGTCTTCTAGGTCACGTGGATGATCTGTTTCCTTTTTTCCTGAGGCATGCAAAGCAGATCTTTCCAATGCTGGACTGTATGGATGATCTACGCAAGATCAGTGATTTAAGATTGCCACCCAACTGGTCAGTGTGTTTAAGTGGTTGTAATGTTTTCTTTGTGTAACAGAATTTCATAGTCTGTGGACCTAAGCTTTTTGAAAGAGACCGCAGTAATGAAAATTATTTTGAACAGAGTGTATGAATTCCACTCTAAATCTTTGAAAGCATTGCATTGTTTAGAAGATGAATGCATAAGACTTAGTAACTTCATTATACTGTCTCTAAGAACTTGATCATTCTACTTTCAACACACTTTAAAAGTCTATTAATAAGTAAATTTTTAAGCTAATTTACAATTACCCCTGAATCAGTATCCAGAAAACCAGATTAAGCGTTCAACAAATCTGTTTTTTTGTGTATGTTATAGGTATCCAGATGCCAGAGCTATTCAGAGAAAGATAATATTCCATGCTGGTCCTACAAACAGTGGAAAAACTTACCATGCTATCCAGAGATTTTTGTCAGCAAAATCTGGAATATACTGCGGTCCACTAAAACTTCTGGCTCATGAGATCTTCCAAAAGAGTAATAATGCTGTCAGTATGTTATATTACTTACCTATATCCTTAGTACTGGAACAGTCTCATGAATGCATGTTTGTAAAGTACTGTAGTGCTTAAGCTAGTCCATGAAGTAATGTGCTTGCATGAGTGCCTTTGCTTTGCAGTAACAGCTCACGTGTACACCAGTTGTGCATTTCTGCTTTGTGCGTGCAGAATAGAACATCATTTCCCCAAATGGAACATCACTTTCCCCAAAACAGGCTGTGCAATCATCCCTGTGACCTGTCTTCATTTTCCTGTGTTTAGCCATGTTCTACTATTAGCTTTTGCAGTGTGGAAACCATGGCTTCTTTTGCCCATGACCTTTATTTTAGCTTGTAGGCAAGAAAAGATCCTTGCTTAACTCCCCTCAACCTTCTGCTTCAGTGTTGAAATATATTTCACTGAACCATCTAATAAAAACTTCTACAGATTCAGATGTGTTGAGTTGAAGAGCAATGACCTGTATCAGGTTCCTAGAAGCAGTTTTGATTAGTGCTTTTTTTTTATTGCTTCCAGCATCCTTTTGAAGGCTCCTCATCGGTGTGTTTCTGGCTACACAGAATCACACCAGTTCTCCAGCATTATAGTAACACCTCACATGTTAATGCAGCATTGTGTATATGTACAGTAGTGTTTACCACATGATCTTATAATTTCTCTTTTTCTGACAAGTCTGTGATTTAGAGCTTGTAATTCCAATTATTCATTTATCAAAGCAACATGTAGGAAAGATTGGCTTGTCCTAGGAGATGTCTGTAACAAGTATCTTGTAGAGACTGTGGATACCGTGCAGTGATGTTCTTGGTTAGCAGAGTTACTGCACTTTTTTCCCATATGTTTAGTGTGTGCAAGGACTTTTCACTTGGCAGCTCGTGGATCATACGTAGCCCTTGAGGCTTAAACAGGGCTTCCTGCATGCCTTTGCAGGTGGCTGTAAATATGAAAAAAATAGTCATCTGCCTGAGATTCAGCAAGTGTAGAGCTGACAGAGGATAGTGGCCCCTGCTGTCTCTCACAGCTAGTCTTCATGAACTCTTGCTGTGTGAGTATAAGGCAGTAGGTGAGACATCCAACAGGGCAATCACCAGATGAACTGGAGGAGGTTGGAGCTTGTAAGGCTCCTTCACTACTGGACAACGCTTTATGAGCCCCTTGTACTACAGCTCTTCTGACAGTTCTTTTGTTGCAGATGTGACAGCTCTGAAATGCTCAGAGGAGATGCAGCATCCTGCAGGAGTAGGGGAGGGCATCTAATTACAGACACTGCCTCTTCATTATACCCTTCAGCCTGATAGGACTTAAATACAGGGCACAAGTCTGAAAAGGCTGAGTTGTTGTTTTCTGGATAGTATCCACTGTACTGTCTTTGAAGCTACTCTAAGAAACTATTTTTTTTTCCCCTTTGGAATGGGGATTTTGTTGTATTACAGAAACTTAACACGAGTTTTCTGAATCCCTTTAGAATGTGCCATGTGACTTGGTGACAGGAGAAGAACGCGTGTATGCCAATGAAGATGCCAGACAAGCTCCTCATATTGCTTGTACCATTGAAATGTGCAGCACTAATACACCTTGTATGTATACAGAATTGTTTCAGTCATATCTGTGATATCTTCATGTGTGCTATTGCCTAGACTCTGAGGTAGTTGAGCTATTCTTTTTTGTTCTTATTTGAACAATTTCTAAACTCTGTTACAGGAGTTAGAACAGTGATCATCTTAGAATAGCTTTTTGGTGGTAGAGGATTAACTTGATTTGATCAACGTTTTTTAGAAAGCCTTTTAAGTTCCGTCCTGTGTTGATTTGCTGTTCTAGATGCTCTTCCTTGGTGCATGATATTTTTCTTTTTTGTTTTAAGATGAAGTTGCTGTGATTGATGAAATTCAGATGATCAGAGATCCTGCCAGAGGGTGGGCTTGGACAAGAGCCCTTCTAGGTAATCTTGTTTGTGTTGACAACAAGCTAGTTTAGCGTGGCTTAAATGGCACATTAAATTAAGCTTAGCAGTCAAAATATTTGTAAGTGGTTACAATATGGTGTGCAAAATGAAACTATTTTTTCTTATGTCTTCTCACAGCAGGATAGAGAGATATTCTACCTCAAAAGATTTGTCTGTATGCAACAAGTTGCCTGTCATGTTTTATTTAATGAATTTTTTTTTTTTTAAGATTCTATTCCCTAAGTTATGCAGATGCCTCTTTTAGTTTTACTTCCTTGGGTAATACGGACTCTTTGTGTTGTTACACTCTATTGTCCTTTTACATTGATTATTTTCTAAAGGTTTGCTTTTTATTGTTCAGTTAAAACAATACAGTTGTTGAGAGATTTTGTTATGAAGAGGTACTGTTAAATGTATGGCAACATGAAAAACATTAAATATAGTGTTAGTCTAAAGTAATCATTTATAGAGCTGCATTGGTCTGTTAAATTCTTAGAAGAATGCTTCTTTTTATAAATTTAGAATTTGTCAAGAGGAATTTTTGAAACTCATTTTTCCTTAGATTTTGAGCAAAAGTCTGGAGTCTGACTTCTCCCCCTTACTTCCCTCCACTGCTCGTAGTGCTAAGTTCAACAGCATGATCTATCACACTTCCTGTACCTCCTTTTTTATTATCTTTTCGGTTCTGACTGCATTTGGGTTGTATTCATAATTTTAGGAGGTCATGCAGAAACCAAAGCTCTTATGTTCTGCTGTGGTTTGGGAGTTAGTAAAACATTAGTAGTAAATAAAACATTTTCAAAGATTTGCTCCATTTGTTCAGTGATTGAGTGTACCTCTTGTTTTGGCTGAGAGGGTGCAACAAGGTATTAGCTACTCTGATTATCATACTAATGGATTTCCAAACAACACTTGCTGATACGAGATCAAAAGCAGCTCTAAGCAGTGTATAGTGGGAGAGGCATTAGATACTGATCAGGGTCTTGAAGGAAGCGAAGTGCAGTCCTCACTGACATGTTTAGCAAACAAAATGTAATTTTGGTTAACTTAAAAATCAGCTGAAGCTACTGTAGTCTATAAATACATAACATTTTGCATTTTATTTCATTGAATCTTGTTTAGGGCTCTGTGCAGAAGAAATCCACGTTTGTGGAGAAGCTGCTGCTATTGACTTGGTGACAGAGCTCATGTACACTACAGGGGAGGAAGTTGAAGTAAGTTTTTTAATTCTGTCAAATTATGGACAGAACATCAGGTTCTCCTTGCTGGAAAACTGGCAAAAATTAGGGACTTCGGGGAGTAGCACTGATCACATTTATTCTTGCAGGACTTCTTGTTAAAATGTTTCTCAATTCCTGTAAGCTAAAGGAGATGTTGCAAAGTGGTTTGGTGGGTTTTATTTTTTTTTTAATAGTGGTATAGCTTTGCTTAGACAAAGGGAATGCTACAGCTATTCAGGGATGGTCTTTACAGTTCTGTTCCCCCTGAAGGGCACAGTGCTCTTAAGTTTACTGAGGTTACTGGATCTGTTGGTATTTATTCTCCATATGACAAGGAAAGCAGTTAAAAGCACTAACATCTCCAGAACAGTGATTGAAAGGTATCTGAAACCCAACTTTACTGTCATAAATATAATTTTTTTGGAGGGGCAAGTTTCCTTTGTGAAGAGTATTTAAAAACATAAAATTTGGTCCTGAGTCCAGCCTATATGATTTCGTGGTGAACTAGCAGTAGTGTGTGGTTCTAGCAGTTCTGTGTGTGGTGGAGTGTGTGAAAGAGGACCAGTTACAGCATTCAGATGATTTGAGTGAAAACAAACTCTCATTTCTTTATAGAATTGATACATAGTCTGTACATTTCTTTTCTTGAATCTACTTTACCTGCAAAAATATACAGTTCTTCTGTGTCTTTAAAAGACTGTATAGTTCTCAGTTTGGGAAGTGCTGCAAGATAGTAAGTGTGTAAGGTGTATGTCACATTCTCCCCAGTAATTATCCCTTCAGAACTGTGTGAGATCCCTCAGTGTTTCAATCAACTTTAATAGTAACCATGCTGGCTGATATTCCATGGGAAGTTTTAATTTAAAAATTTATTATCTTTGACAATTCCTCTGTTTCTAGGTGCGAAACTACGAGAGACTCACTCCTCTCACTGTGCTGGATTATGCCTTAGAATCTTTAGATAACCTCCGCCCTGGAGACTGCATTGTCTGTTTCAGTAAGAATGACATTTATTCTATCAGTCGACAGATTGAAGCCAGAGGATTAGAATGTGCTGTCATATATGGCAGTCTACCACCAGGTGAGACTTTTCCTTTTGCTTTTAAGGAAATGTTCTGCTTCTTGCTCTTTCTTAGAAAAACTTTTAAAATGAAGCAGTACAGGTTTTCGTAGTTTTGTATCTATATTGTTAGAGAAAGTAATCAACTTTCATTGATTGATGTTTTAATCTTGGGATTAGACCTTTATTATGTTCTTAATAGACCTCATTAAATGAGGTCTGTCCACAGTTCTAGGAATTATTTAAATCCCTCCTGCCCCCTTCCACCAACAATAGCCAAATACCAACCAAATGCCAATTTTTTTGTTTGGTGGTGTTTTTTTTTTGGTTTGGCTTGGTTTGTTTGGTGGTTTTGTTTGTTTGTTTGTGTTTTCCCTAAAGGCATTTGGCTTAGTAATACATAATCACTGTTTTATAAGAAGAGTTTTGTATGTGAACTGTTCCGTAATTTTTTTAGGAACAAAACTTGAACAGGCAAAGAAGTTCAACGATCCTGATGATCCATGCAAAATTTTAGTTGCTACAGATGCAATTGGAATGGGACTCAATTTGTAAGTATTTGGAACAGGTCATGGTATGGTTTTGTGGCAGATTTTTTGTATGTAGCTGTTGGTTTTGGGTTATTTTGGGGTGTGATACCTGCATGAATTCCTTCACTTATTTCTCCTCAGTTTGGCTAATTTGGCTAAATAGCTGCTATGTCTAGGTAACACAGTATCTGCATTTTAATTCTGAAGGAGTGATCAATTTGATGAGGTAGAACTAAGCTTTAATTTTAAAACTGATTCTAAAAATTAAATGGCTCACTTGGCCTAATTCTGTGGGAAAGCAGGCACTGTTAAGATCCTTTCAATTCACTGGAGTAAGATGTGCGCAGTTGTCAGTGTCAGTCTCTTGCATTTCTGAAATATAGAGCAAGTTCAGTCCAGTTTCAGATGTATTTTGGTGCTGAAGGTGATGCAATCACATTTCTATAAACTACTAAGGCAGATGATGGTGAACGGATTGAGACCTTACTAGAACATGGTTGATGTGTGTAGGGATGATGATTCTTCTGCAACTAACCAAACTAACCAGTAGTCTTACACTGCCCTTTTGAATATGCTGTGTCTGTAAGTAGTATTTGTAATCTTTTAATTTATAGAGGGGAAAAAAAGCTAAAAAACAACCAAATAAAAAGGCTTTCATGCTTCTGTCATAGGTTAAAATGATTTCCAAAGGAGGATTTCTCTTTGTCTTTATTCAAATATTTCAGGTGTATAAGAAGAATAATTTTTAACTCCATAGTAAAGCCAACTATCAATGAGAAGGGAGAAAAGGAAATAGACTCCATTACAACCTCGCAGGCTCTACAAATTGCAGGCAGAGCTGGACGTTACGGCTCATCCTTCAAACAAGGAGAAGTCACTACAATGCATCGTGATGACCTCATACAGCTGAAGGAAATTTTGAGTGAGCCTGTGCGCCCTGTGAAGGTGAGAGGCTCAGTACCTGATTTCTGCATACATGCGCTGAAGCTGTTTTACTGTGTTCTGATCCCAAATTATTTTTCCTTGTGTCTGTTTACAGGTTAGTTATAAAAATGGGTTGTGTCATGCCCAATGGCTTTTTTGACTTTGTCCCATTTGGAGGCTTGCAATATTTCATTTATATTGATGCTGCTCTTTCAAGAACTAAAAGCTCAAACACATGCTCATGTTCTGCATAAGTATGCTAAATAAAGTGGATTCTAGGGTGGTTTGGTTTCTTGCATTTTGTCTTTCTAGATTTTGTTTCTGATGCACTGAGTTAAGAATAATATTGAGAATTAATGGAATTTTTTTCTTTGTTTTCCCTTTAGGCAGCTGGCCTACATCCTACTCCTGAGCAGATAGAAATGTTTGCTTATCATCTCCCTGATGCCACTCTATCCAACCTAATTGTAAGAATGATCAAAATATTAGCTTCTGCTTTAAAAATTAAGCATTACTTTTGGTCAGTGCTCTTTGTTCAAACATGTACTTTGGGAACCTAACAGACAGCCTTGTGTATATCTTTTATCAATTGGATTCTTCTCTCTACCATAGTGACTGCAAATATGTTTAGAATGCTTAACTTTTCTTTGTTAAACTTAAAAGCTGTTGAAGTGTGTAAATAGGTTCACAGATGTTGAAGAGTATGCAACAACCTTTTCATTTCACCTGTTCTGTATTTTAAGTGTAGACTTTCTGGTCAGAGGCTGAAAATAATACAAATTGAAATTTTGATAAATTCCTGCGAAACTGGACTGGTTATGTCAGGTTTCTGTACATCTGAGAGCTACCAGAGTCTTTTTATTCTTGGTTCTGTGGACTTTATGGTAAAACAGTGTCTCCTTAACTTCGAGAAAATGGATTTTTTGGAATCTACTTGATCTCATCATTAGCTGAATAATAGAATTTTTGGAAGTGCCTAAACCTTTTAAAGTAGAAATTAAGCTTACGATGCTGTATTTAAAAAACACTATCATGGTTTTTAGTACACTGAGAAATTCTTAGCAGCTTTCATGGATTTAAATGTGTATTATTGTTCTCTGTTGATGTGCTGTTACATAGCAAAGTGTACAATTTCTAACCTTGAGGTAAAAGATTGTACTTGGAGACTTCCTGGAAAACTTAGGCTGGTAGGGTAACAGCACATCTTTAAAATTCTGTGATTGAGAATTTTGGGACTAGCATAGAAGTATTAAGATAAAACTTCCATGTTGTTATTGATCTTTTAAGCATTTGGTCACAATGCTTCTTTAAAGATCTTTTAAAAAGTATTTCAAAGATTTACACTAGAGAAATAATTTTAGGGGTGCATAAAAATTCCCCCTGCAACGTGCAGTTGGCATCTCCTTTTTCTCCAAACCTTGGATATGTTTCAGGTATTCTTTGAACTCTTCTGTTGCAATACTATATTTATCTTTCTTCCTAAGATATTGCTGGCATTGGGCTAAAAATACCTCAATTATTGAATTTTATGCTGTAAAATTAGCTTTTTGGGTCGTGCTAAGTGACAAACCTGTAATGAGTTCTAAACATAGGGCTGGTTCCTGTGATGGTGTTCTTTGTAACTAAAATGTACACTTCCAGAACACTGTATTTGCTACTTGGGAGATGACTTGAAAATGCTTAAATAAAGCATAGTGTGTTATGTCTTCTCTGATCCTGTGTTAGAGAATTTACAAAAGTCCTGTTAAGAGCAGAAGGAACTCCCTGTCCTCTTTTTTATTACCATGATCAAATCTGGTATTTTTAACTGTTCTTTCAGTATAACTAGAATTTAACAGCTCTTTCCTGTGATAACATTCTCTTCATTTGGTTATATTTTCACAGGATATTTTTGTGAGTCTCTCACAAGTCGATGGGCTTTACTTCGTCTGCAATATTGATGACTTTAAATTTCTAGCAGATATGATTCAGCACATTCCACTAAATTTGCGATCACGATATGTCTTCTGCACTGCACCCTTGAATAGGAAAGAGCCTTTTGTGTGTACCACATTGTTGAAGGTCAGTTACTTATTTTCTCAAAAAATGCGGTATTTATATTGGAGCAAGCAGGTTTTGGTGCACTGAGACTATATCTAGCTGCTATAGTGATTACGGGTTTTATCATTAGACCATTTGAGAGCATTCTTGAAGTGCTCACAGGTAGTGATATAAAATAGCTGGAGATAATTCTTTTCAATTGTATTCTTCACCATTTTTGTTGGCCAAATCTTTTAACTTCTGAGAACTGATTTTCATTTTGTGATATAAATTAAAGTTTGGATGGCTTTTCTGCTGTTTGCCTCAGAGAATCCTACTGCTTGCCTTGCCGGTGATCTATGAACGGGGAGAGATCAGTATTGTGTGACGTAGCTACTTGTGCACCATTAAGCTTTGCACTGTATCGTGTCTAAAAGTAGTCCTTAAAAACCAAGATGCTGCTGCTTCAAGGTGTTAGCTTGTCAGCGGAAGAATGTGGCGTTTTGTGATTGCTGATGTTAGAATACAGTTACATAGAATTAAACCCCCCAGAAAATACAGAGCTTAAGTTGCTCTCAGAATTACTTCATTTCACCTTTCAGGCCTGGATGAACTGTTTTCCACTGTGCCTCTGGTGTGATTGTTTTGAGGAATTTGTAGTCAGCTGCTGTCAATTTTTCGGGATTAATAGTTTTGCTTGGGTCTGTAACTTTGTTAGTATCACCTTTGTCCCCTTTAGAGACTGTATTAAACTTTTTTGTTAAAATAGCGAAAAAATGAAACTGATGTGGTGCCCTAGTGTCACAGATATTAGACCTGTGCTTTTCAGAAATGGCTAATAATGTTCTTTAAAAATTGAGTGATTTAAAGATTTGTGGGAAATAAAAGTGCCTTATCAAGATAATTTTGAGCATTCAGATCCCAGGTAATGAAGGTACAGAGGGGCATAATGTGATGTCTGAGGGAGGCAGGCCGTTGTGAATGCCTGTGTGAATTTAAGCCCCATTCCTTGGCAGAAAAAAAAAACCCCACCCTTCTGGCATTAGCCAGTGAGGAAGTGGTTATTCCAAGTCATCAACACTCCTGAAAATTATAAATATAGATCTTACTTGTCTTGTTAATCTCTTGGTAAAAGAGCTGAGATGTCTGGATTTCAGAAGGGTTGATTTCTAGTGCAGATTAATTGGTTTGAGTTACGAATAGTGTGTTTCCTAAGTCAGGGAACAACACATTTAACATTTTCTCAATCTTGGAGATTCTGAAACGAGATAATTAAAGCAACAGGAGCAAGAGAATCAAAAAAACTAAGAGTTCCATCTGCTTCGCTAGATGAAATCATATTATCTTAAGTGTTATGCTTTTCTGAATAGCTCTATACATTTGTTGCTTAACTATGGGCATGGCCCATGGACAGACTGTGTTAATGAGGCCCTGGGAAGGAAGAGGTGACTCCTGTGTTGAGTAATTAAGTGAAAGAATGTGTGGCATTTGGACTGTGTGAAACTAAGGAGGCATTTTCTGGAGCATTCTATGTACACAGACTCAAGGGAATTTAACTCATTTGGGATTTCTTCCTTCATTACTAACAGAGGACTTAAAAAAAAATCTGCTTGTTTTTCAGTTTGCAAGGCAGTTCAGTAGGAATGAGCCTCTGACATTTGACTGGCTCTGTCAGCACACCAAATGGCCATTAGCTGCTCCGAAGAACATCAAAGAGCTTGTACACCTTGAGGCTGTTCATGATGTTTTTGACCTCTATCTGTGGTTAAGGTATTGTTCTTGTGCTTGAAAATTATTTTTTTTTTTTCCTAATACTTACAACTACAATCCTAGAAAAGCAGTGTCTTTGAGTCTGTGTGTACGTGCTGCATTGTGGCCTCCTTTGACCCTTTAGAGAATCTTGACAAATGCAAATATAGCTATGTTGTGGGAGCAAGTCATGGGTTCTGCAGAGAAATTTGTGACTGACAGAAAGTTAGAAACAAAGTGATCCTGGACTAGAGCAGCTGAAATACCACTTAAAATACAGTGGCCTTGCCATGCAACATGTAAAAATTAGATATTTTCTTTTTTTACCGTTCATAGAAGGTATCTTATTTTTGTCCCAGTCTGCAGTCCTTGAATCCTGTGTTGTTTTGCTTCTCTTCAGTTACCGTTTCATGGATATGTTTCCTGATGCTGTCCTTGTGAGGGATATACAGAAAAAACTGGATGACGTTATACAAGTTGGTGTCAGCAACATCACAAAGCTGATCCGAGCTTCACAATCTGCAGCTGCTCCTGGCACAGTGGAAGTTGTGTCAGAAGACTTTCCTCTTTCAAGGACAAAGAGGGATACCAGGGTGGTTTCAGACCGTCATAGTGCAAGATCCACAGAGGCACTCTCTATTGCAGTGGACGTGCCAGGAGAAAGAAGAGCAAAGAACTTGAAAGCCTATCGGCCTTCAACAAGGCAGGAGGATCTGAAAAGCTATGGACGTGGATCTCTTGCCAACAGATTGCTGCGTGAAGGACTTCTAACACAAGAAATGCTCAGACAGCTGGAGAGTGAGTGGCAGGATCAGCACAGGAATGGTAGATATGGCATTGGTTCAAAAAGAAATGATCAGAATAGTTCAAAGGAAATGGAGAAAGAGAAAAAATAGAACCATGTCCTAATTCTGTTTAGGTTTTATTAATAAAATAAACTACTATTTTAATATCTTCTTTGGCATTTCATGTTTACACTGCTGCAGCTCCTTTATGCTTTCATTTGTCCTGTGACCAGATATGTGAAGCAGTCAGAGAAATGGACTCTTAAAAGCTCAGAGGCCATACGTTTGCATTTAGCAGTCAACTGTACACTTTTTCAATCATGGAATTCAGCAAAAGTGTATGATCTGCTGCTGTGTGAAAATTTGAACTTGATGTCTTCTTGCAAGATATCCTCACATCGTTAATAAATGTCACCTATTTCACTAGTAATGAATTAGGTACTCATTCCATCCCTTCCCAAAGGGCAGAGTTTAACAGATAACAAACAAGTAATGAACAACGAGGCAGGAAATTGGTTCATAATGGTGATAGGAGTCATGTGCCTCTAACCTTTGTGTATGTGAAAATGCGGAAGCATTTGTGTTAATGCGGTGGAGAAAGATAAAATTCTGGACTCAGGAATTTTTGAGTAAATTCCAATTCTGTCATCTGAGGGGTGATTACTGAAACAAAGTAAAATCTATCCTTGCTCTTTAAATTGTATTCTTTCTTCTAGGAAGAGCTCATCATGCTGATTCAGACAAAGTTTTGAGGGAGAAAGAAGAGAAAAAAAAAATTGAATTATGATTTTTTGGGAGAAGGGAGAAGATGTTAGAAACATAGGTATAATTTTAGTTACTTTTGAGAAATTCGGATGTCTGTTTCTCCTTGACTTTTCTAGTTCTATTTAATACAAATTATTTTCTGTGGCATTTCATAATTGTTTTATTTGCTTCACATGCCAGTTTGTGATACCTGAATTTTGAGAGGGTACATACAATATTTTATGGAAGTTCACATAACGGCATATAGTTTAAGTAGCAATTGTGAGTTGATATTTGTGCCAGTAGTATTTCCACATACCTAGTTTATCATGGCTATCATAAATTGGGAAAGTTAGGTGCTTACTGCCTGGAGAAAGGTTTAATTTGCTGGAACTAGATTTTTGGGAAAAGGACTTTTTTTTTTTTTTTTTTTTCTGATGCAGCATCACTGAATAATGTTTAGGTGCACCACCCGGCTATGGCTCTTTCATACATGTGCAGATGCTCTGTCATTTGTTTTCAAAGTGTGAGCAGCTTTAAGATATGCTTTTGAGCCCCTGGTAGGGATACTGGAGAGTGGAAAGAATCAGAAGTGGGTTTCAGCATTAGGATGTGTTGCTTGGGCTGCCTGAGAATAATGCTGCAGCAACTGTATTTCTGGGGTTGGCTATATGCAAGTCTGCAGATACTGCTTGCCTTAATGCTGGGATGCTTGTAAAAGCCAGGTTGAATTTCATTGTATCAAATACCTGACATTCTAAAATGATCAGCCACATATTTTTGCAGGTTGAAAGTTTGCTCTGAATGCCCTTTGTTTCCTCCTAGTATCAATCCTTTAAGCTGCTGTTTGGAAACAAGTCTGCAGCAGTTTGAATAATGTTTTAACAGCTGATTTCAGTGTATTTCATGAACTGTATCCCCATTAAAAGCAGGCAATGCTTAAATGTTTCTAGTCCACATGATCTCCTGCTCATTTTAGTATCGCACTGGTGTGGAGGGAGGGTTTTAGGTCTTTCCCCTGCAAAGCCTCAGCTTGCTTTCCTCCCCAAAGAAAAATCTAGCAGCTGTGTGTGTGGCAGTGGCAATGTGAGTATCGTGAATTTCCTGCTTTGTGGATAAGTAATTCTGCTTTGCTTTCTCAGGGTCCTGACAGTCTCTGCTTAAGAGCAACGTGACTTGCTCAGAATGTGAGCTTGCATTTGATGTTCAAATAGCTTGTGTGATACGGATTATGTGATTCAGTGGTATCAGTTGCCTCCTTGTGTCCTTTGCACTTGACAGTCTCAATTTGGGAAGCTGTAGTTGCTCAAGCCTGCAGACTGGTTTTAAAGGCTTGCGTTTGCCAATTTACCTCTTGGACTGTAAACTCCTTGCTGAATCTGCAAAACCACTATTCAAAACCACAGTTGTACAAGTACAACTCCTCTGTTTTCTCTCCCTCAGTGCATGTGGGGTTGGGTTGCAGGAGGCCTACACTGCTACTGTGCTTTGCTTCTAGTCTGTTTTGATAAATTTATCCTTTAATTGTATGCTGAATTGCATCCTAGTGTATATTTTTGGGCAAGGAAAGAGTGACTGCGACTTCGGGGTATAAGCCAGCCTTGAGTTTCAACAGCAAGCCTTGCAATAAGGAAGCTAAATGACTATAAGCATTCTTTTTAGTATTTTGCTGAGATTAGCACTTGGCTTAACTCATTGCTTGTTTCCATAGTGACTCCATAGTAACTGTTTTAAGAGCTCTGAAGTTTATTCAGGCGTTCACAGGCTGACTTTTTATGAGTTTTCTTCTGAGCTAATGGTGTGGCTGTCATTCACTCCCGTTAGGATGACTGCCAAATTGGTCCATATGGTACAATCTGGACTGGTGTGGTGCAAAGCTATGCCAGCTGCACATTTTTAACATGCCCTGTGCAAGCAAGCCCCTGGGAGAGGATTGAGTGGCCTCTTGCTCTTCTTCATGGGGCTGTGCCAAAACCTTTTCTTTCTAAACATCAGCAACAGTGTTCACTTGATTTGGGAATCACATTTCCAAAACTGTTTATTTCAGGTATTCAGATTCCAGATTAATTTCAGGCATTCAAGTTACAGATGTTTAGAAGTTTTTTGGTTTCACAATTACATTTTCTGTGTGTTTATTTGCTATGCATCATATGTAAAATGCTGATTATAACAGCACTACTCGGTAAAAGCTTTATTTCTCTTAAGCCAATGTTTTCTTTTCTGTCTGTACTGTCTCCATCTCACATAGTGTCTGTCCTTGGAGTGAATTTTCCAGTCAGTTCCCTCAGGTCTTCTGCCTTCTTTTGCAGCCTGATGTTGCCCAAGGAGAGACATAGGCAGGGCAAATGTGGGGCCCCCCTTCTGTTCTCAGTTTTGATGAATTTGTGGGAATATAATGGGGAAAAAAGCTACTGCTATTGGGATGGGTTCGTTGATTCTTGTTCCAAGATCACAGATTTGTTGGTCTTGGAAATATAAGCTATAATACAGACAAATTTCTCTTAATTATTCACCTGTAGCCTTATCTGTCCACTCTCTCCTTGTAAACCTGGGTGCCATACCCAGCAACCAGGGTTGCCACTGCCTCTGATACCTCACCAAAGATAGATGCAGTAAAATGCTTATTAATATGGTACCTTTTTCTGAAGGAATCTGGTGCATGTTTAGCTGATACACTCAGGCGTTTATCTGAATTACCCATTGTAGCTGTGAGCTCCTTTCGTTGCAGGCCTTTGACTGCAAGACTGTTACAGAGGCACGTGAGCACCAGCTTCTTCACAATTCTCCATGGGACACAGTTTGGAGGGAGAACTGCAGGACAAGAAAGTAGGGAGAGGGTTACTGTAACTTTGAAGTCTTATTGGCCTTGGCGAAGGGGGGGGGGGGTGACTAACTTTTACTGGGTGCAGCTCTAACAAAGGGAAAAAAACAACATTGCATCAAACCTCCAAGCTGCGTGCAATTGGAGCTGATCTGTTCACTTGGTCCTGGATTGTTTCCCCTGTACTGGTCAGAATACACAAAATGGCTGTAGCATATTTGGGTATTGGGCCCTTAGAGCACTGAACCACTGTCTATGTGGAAATGAGATAATGTCTTTTCTTGCGCAGCAGGCTGCCTGAAGTTAGGATGTACCAGGGATGAGCCAACAAGCTATGCAGTGATTCTGACATGTCAGGTATTTAACAGAGCTTGCTGCCAGTTTAGGAACATTTAGATCTTTGAGACCCTTTTCCAGTGGCATCCATTAGAGAAAGAAAGAAAAGAGAGAATGAAAAATAAATCTACTGTATTACAGACACAATGAGCTCTGGATCAAAGTGGGATGGAGCTTGAAAGGTGATGTTTTCAATTTTGCTGGCCAGAGGGGTTGTGACTCGGATAGCATGGGTAAACAATGAGGAAAGAGACAGTCCCTCTGGGAGTCAGTGTCTGACTTAACGAGCCAGCAGTTATTAAAAGATGAATACAGGAGAAGTGAACCGTGCTTTCTGGCTGGTAGCATGGCTTTTTTTTCTTCTTTCTTTCTCCCTTTCTCTTAAAGATCAAAGGCCTAATTTTAGCGCAAGTCCTATTTATGGACTGTTTAGCCACTCTGTCTGCTTTATTCATGTTATAGAACAGTGGAAAATAAAGAGAGCTGAGGATATTTCCAAATGTCCAGAGCTCATTCCCGATGCAAGACAGAAGAAAAGACCTCAGGCTTTCCTAGCAGAGGTTCTGTATAATTTGACTGCAAAGGTAGTTCCCTTCCGCTTCCTCAGCTCTTTCAGTCTTTTGTGATCAGAGGCTGAAGAAACCCTGTGACTACTCCTGCTCTTCAGCAGAGCTATCTCCTGATCCGTGCCTTCTTGACATACTGTAGCTGCCAGGACTGGGCAGAGTCCTCTTCTTGAGGCTGGTGCTGAGTACAGGGTTGAGTGTTGCTTTGTGTGTCTATGGATTATATTCCTAATCATACAGCCCAGCATGATGAGCAAGTGCACTTCTTTTACAATAGCATGAGATTTTTTGGTCCATTTCAGGATGTGAATTCATATAACCTGAGATTCTTTTCTGTTAACTGGCTGCTTCTGCCCTGCTCTGGACCTGTGTAGATGATTTTCTAATTCTGCTCAGTAGTTCTTTGTGTTTCCTCCCAGTACTTGCCCTGCCTTTTCCATCTCCCTCTTCCGCTGTCCCAAGGCTGTTTGTTTTTCTAATTTATACAAACATTTCTTGATTGCAGTCTTGTTCTGCAAAATTTTGGGTGGCAATTGTCTGTCAGTGCAGTAAGTATGCTCAGTTGCAGCTGTAATATTAAACAGTAATTAGGAGGGAAACACAGTGTGTGCCCTGGTTTTTGTTATTGTTCTTTTGTTGTTGTTTTTTTCCTTGTTTGTTTCTCTCCTTTGTGTCAACATTTCATTCAGTTTCCTTTGGATGATGTTTCCATAGTCAGTATCACTTGATACAATGACAAAATCCTGGAAACACTTGCAGATTCAGAATTAACTTTGGAGAGTAATAGAGGCTGTGTCAGGTGCAGCTCTGATGGTGTTTAGAAAACTGCTCTTGTTGTAGGCATTCTGTGCTGCCCATTAAAGGCATTTATCAAGTGAAGCAGTCTGATATCAACACTGCTGGCTGCCAGGTAAATCTGTCCCCTCCCCAGGTTTTGCAATACTTGAGTATTTGGATTGGTCT